TTGGTGCAAACAGATGAAAGTCTTATTCAGGTGTCAAGGTCTTTGGGACCTTGTAAAAGACGGAGTCGAAGCGCTTGGAGAAAACGCTTCAGAAGAAGAAAAGAAGAAATACATAGAATCTGAGAAGCTGAGTTATAAAGCATTATTTATAATTCATCAATGTGTCAGCCCAGACAATTTCGAAAAGGTTAGTGATTCAGAATCTGCAAAAGAAGCTTGGGAAATCCTTGAGAAGTCTTTTGGAGGCGCTGAGAAAGTGAAAGAAGTGATATTACAAACTCACAAAAGGACCTATGAACTGCTTCAGATGGAAGACAGTGAAAGCATATCTGATTTCTTCACTAGAGTTATAAAACTAGTAAATCAAATCAAGATATGTGGAGAAGCATTAACAACAAGAGTTGTTGTGTCGAAGATCTTGAGATCTTTAGCTCCAAAGTTCGACCACATAGTGGTGGCGATAGAAGAGGGGAAAGACTTGTCGAAATTGACAAAGGAAGAGCTTTAAGGGACGCTTGAATCTCATGAACAAAGAATGAAAGAAAGAGCTGCAGAAAAATCGAAGAGTGATATGGCCTTGCAGGCACATTCAGCAAAAGAGACCAAAGGCAAAGGGAAGTGTTTCGACAGAGGTAGAGGTGGCTACAAAAAATCGAATGGTAGAGGAAACCAGATTGAAGGAAACATGTCGAATCAAAGAAGACCATACCAAGGCAACCAAAGAGGTGGTGTTGCAAATAGAGGAAGAGGTGGTGGTCGAAAACCTGATAAGAGTCACATTCAATGTTACAATTGTCAGAAGTATGGTCACTATTCGAGTGATTGTCCAGAAAAACGAAAGAATCAAGAAAGTGATGCAAAGCTTGCAAAACATGAAGAAGAAGAAGAAGAAGAAGAGATGATGCTGATGGTCACAACAAGAGATGAAGATAGATTCAAGGACCAATGGTACTTGGATTCAGGATGTTCATCACATATGTCTGGAAGGAAAAACTGGTTCATCAATATAAAGCCCTCAATGAAAAATATGGTAAAATTTGCAAATGACAATACCCTAGTAGCTGAAGGTATTGGTGATGTTATGATTATGAGGAAAGATGGCAAAATATCAGTAATCTCCAATGTGTTGTACATACCAGGCATGAAGAGCAATTTTCTCAGTATAGGGAAGTTGGTCGAAAAATTTTATAAAGTGTCAATCGAAGATAAGATGATGAGAGTCGTTGATGCAAATGGGAGATTAATCTTGAAGGCTCCTATGTCTCAGAATCGAACCTTTAAGATTGAACTAAATGTGATGGAGCACAAGTGCCTTTTGACTGCAGCTAGCAGAGATGAATGGATACGGCATTATAGACTAGGCTATCTTAACTTCAGAGACATCAGAGATTTGAAGAGAAGAAATATGGTTTAAGGATTGCCAGAAATTGACATTCCAAACAAGGTATGTGAGGAATGTGTGCAGGCGAAGCAACACAAGAATAGCTTCAGCAAGGATGCAGGGAGCAGATCGAAGGCTAGTCTTGAAGTCATATACTCTGATGTATGTGGACCAATCCAGGTGGATTCGATGGGAGGTAACAAATACTTTGTTACATTCATAGATGATTTCAGTCGAAAGATATGGACTTACCTGATCAAGAAGAAAAGTGAAGTGATCGAAGTATTTACCAAGTTTAAGTCTATGGTCGAAAGACAAAGTGGTCGAAAGCTCAAAGTTTTGAGAACTGATGGTGGTGGAGAATATGTGTCGAAAGACTTCGATAAATTATGTGAAAAGGAAGGGATTATGCATGAGGTGGTGCCACCCTATACTCCACAAGAAAATGGAATTGCAGAAAGGAAAAATCGAACCATCATGAATATGGTGAGAAGTATGTTGAAAGACAAGAATTTACCTAAAGAGTTTTGGGGTGAAGCTATTTCGACTGCAACATACATTTTGAACAAATGTCCTATAAAGAAGCTAGAAGGAATTACTCCAGAAGAATGTTGGTCTGGTGTGAAGCCTAGCTTAAGTCATCTGAAGGTATTTAGATCTATTGCACATAGACATGTGCCAGATCAGTTGAGAAGAAAACTTGATGATAAGTCAAGTCAAATGATTCTAGTTGGATATCATTTGACAGGAGGCTACAAGTTGTTCGATCCAGTGAAAAAGTAGATTGTGATCAGCAGGGACGTGATCATAGATGAGTTTAAAGAATGGGATTGGACTGATAATGTCAAGAAAGATTCAGTGGGAATCCTTCTTGAAGAGCCAGAAACTCAAGTCGAAAGAGAAGTTCGACAAGAGGAACCAACAAATATACCAAGTACAAGCAGGCCTCAAAGAACAAGACGCATGCCTGCAAGATTACAAGATTGTGTGATTACATCAGATGATGTAATAGATAATGAATGTGAGCTGGTACATTATGCTTTCTATGCAGATGTCGAACCCGTTAATGCAGCTGAAGCATTAAAGGATTCGAAGTGGGTGAAAGCAATGAACGAAGAAGTAAAGTCTATCGAAGACAACAACACTTGGTCACTTGTCGAATTGCCTCAAGGCAAGAAGGCAATTGATGTCAAGTGGGTATACAAAGTGAAAACGAATTCGAAAGGTGAAGTAACTCGACACAAAGCAAGACTTGTGGCGAAAGGATTTCTACAGAAAGAAGGAATAGACTTCGATGAAGTTTTTGCACCTGTTGCTAGGATCGAAACAATCAGGTTGGTTGTTGGTCTAGAAGAAATAAACAGTTGGCACATATGTCAGATGGACGTGAAGTGTGAATTCCTAAATGGACCCTTAGAAGAAGAAGTTTATGTTAAACAACCAGTTGGGTTTGTGAAACATGACGAAGAAAGAAAGGTGTACAAGATGCATAAAGCCCTGTATGGATTGAAATAAGCTCCAAGGGCTTGGAATAAGAAAATTGATAGTTTTCTAAGAGAGAAGGAATTTGTGAAGTGTACAACTGAACATGGAGTATATGTAAGAAGAAGAAAGAGTAAATTGCTTATACTATGTCTCTATGTAGATGATTTGTTGATAACGGGTAGCTGTAAAAGTGAGATCGAAGACTTCAAAGATGATCTCAGCAAGGAATTCAAAATGTCTGATTTGGGTGAGATTTCATATTTCCTTGGTATCGAATTCTACAAGAGCAGTAGAGGTTTGATGATGCATCAAAGAAGATATGCAGGAGAAATTCTCAAGAGGTTTGAGATGGAAGAATGCAACTCAACTTCGACACCTGCAGAACCAAGACTGCAACTGTCGAAAGATGCAGATGAAGATGATGTTGATCCAACCCAATACAGAAGACTTATTGGATCATTGAGATACCTTTGTCATACAAGGCCTGACTTAACATATAGTGTAGGTATGATAAGTAGATTCATGCAGAAGCCAAATGTATCACATCTAGCAGCAGTGAAGAGGATACTAAGGTATCTCAAAAGAACTTTCGATTATGGCATTTTGTTTCCTGCAGTTGATAAAGGAAAAGAATGCAAGTTAGTGGGATACACTGATTCGAGTTGGTGTAGTGATGCTGAAGATCGAAAGTCAACAGCAGGATATGTGTTTATGCTAGGTGGTACACCAGTTGCTTGGAATTCAAGAAAGGAACCAGTAGTGGCATTATCATCATGCGAAGCAGAATACATAGCTGCTTCTCTTTGTGCATGTCAAGCAACTTGGATGGTGAACTTGGTCGAAGAGATAACAGGAAAAAATCATGGAGCAATTACCATGAAGATAGACAACATGTCAGCTATTAATCTGGCGAAGAACCCAATAGCACATGGTCGAAGTAAGCACATCGAAATGAGGTTCCATTATCTTCGAGAGCAGGTAGCAGATGGAAAGATGAATTTGAAACACTGCAAAACTGAGAATCAGATTGCAGACATCATGACGAAGGGAGTGTAAGTCGAAGTATTCAGAAAGCTAAGAGTCATGATGAACATAGATAGTTTAGACACAATGAATTAGGTGGTGTGTTAAATTGTAATCCAATGTGTCGAAACTATGTGTCGAAAAGATTTAATTTGTTTTAGATTTAAATAGATTTGATTTAAGTCTAGAATAAATTAGATTTGATTTAGTAACAAAAAGATATTTTGGACTTTGAGCTTAAGGTGTAAGCTCAATTATAAATAGAGAGAGTAACCCCTATTTTTGTAAGCAAGTAAACAAGTTGTATTCACAGTATTTTACAGTTGCAAAGTGAATAAGAAAGTTTTTACAGTTTGTGAGCGGAGAGAAACTCTGCAGAAATTATTTGTCTTGTCTTCTTTTCTTTGTTTGTCTCATAATTAGATTGTCATTGTGGTAGAAATTCATCATAGACTTTGGTGGATTTCCAACAACCCTCACTCCGCCCTACCGAAAATTTGCTCCTTCATAAGACTTCACTACACATTTCTAATTTTTTTACATAACAAAATAAAAATATTATTATGGTGCTATTCTTGAAAACACCATGTTCTGTGTTTTCTTAGTTTTTAAAGAAAATTTCAAAATAGAAAAGCAAAACAGCTAAAAACTAGTTTTGATTTTTTTATTCTCAAAACTTATTTGTAAAACTGATAAATCAAACAAGCTTTTAATTTTCAAAATTTAAAAAACAAAATCAAACCGGCCCTAGCTCTTTAGTTTTGAGCTAAAAACACATATTATAGTATTACATAATAGTTGATAGACACCACAATTTTTGAGTTATGAAGTTTAAAAGTTCCGCAAAAAGCAGTTACTTGTGTTTGGATATCGATTTGTTTATTTATTATATACATAAATCCACATCAGACTTCAAATTATCATCGACATAATATGAAATCCAACAATTTTCTCAGTAAAGCCTAATTGCAGCTAAATTCTTGTGAATAACTCATGTTAAACTTTTGCATAACCTTAACACATTTTTTCGCAGTTTCACTTTCTCTCTATATCCATTGAAGTTTATAAACTCCGAACAATGTCAATGATGTTCAGTAGTAACACACTCGCCTCATAGAGCATAAATCTTCTCAACATCAGAGTTATATTCCTCCTCATCTGATATATGTGCCGAGTAAGACCACGACCGCGATTTGCTTCTACTTGGTCTCTTAACTATCCCTCTCTGTGATTCCCTTTGGAATCCAAAATGTCGCCGAAACACAAAGTAGCACAAGTATGCAAGAGTCCCAACTAGAATCGGAGTTCCCAAAACAGTTACAGTTATAGCCATCCACCTTTCGTTTCCAACAACAACAAAAGCTATAGCGAGAAAAGCTGCACAAGTGCATGTACAAGCTGTCCACATAAGCTTGTTAATCACCGAAACGATCTGCGTTTGAGCTCTTGTGTCCCAAGCTACCAAAGTGATTTGAACAACAACAACCGCGAGAGAAATGAAAAGAGACGTTGCGTTCAAAAGGCAGAAGACACTGAACGCAACGTCGTGAGATATGTTCGCCTTCCCTGCCTCTGGGTGTATCATTCTATATTGACCTGGCAATGTGAACAAAGCCATGAATGCTATTGATGCAAAAAGGACAGCAACTACTGTGACAGAATTTATGGTGTTTTGAATTGCTTCTCTATGGATTTTTCTCAACTCCTTAGCTATAGTTGAAACCCGTCTGCGAGTTTTTTCGTTCTGTATGAGCTGTGACTGCACCTCGTGTTTTATATCACTCACTGCTCTTTTAAGTTCTATGGCTTCATTCATTTTGCCTATATGTCTCGCATTCTTGGCACCACATTCCGAAAGTGCTTCCTTGATTTCTAAAGACGAGTCTCTGTACGGAAGTTTATCTGCTAAATCCAAGGCTGTTTCTTGCTGATTATTGATGGCATTGACATTCATAGATGTATAGTTTAACAAAAAGCTCACTATCTGAAATAACGAGGCAAACCGTGTTAGGCTTATCGAATAAGTTGTTTATCCAAACATTACCTAGTTTATAACAAAACTGAATCAAACATGATAAAAAAACAGAAATGAAACACGGTATGATTGACCTGCGAACGAGCTTTCCGAGTGGCCATGTGAAGAGCTGTATTACCCTTCTTATCTCGTTCGTTCAATACAATCGGGTCAGCTTGTAATATCTCCTCAACTACTGAAGTACACTGTCCTTTTACAGCCATATGCAATGCTGTTTGGCCCTTCCTATCTTTAATGCAAACAATCGCTGAATCCCTCTCAATAAGTACTTTTACCACGCGAAGAATACCATACCTAGCAGCATTGTGCAAGGCAGTCTTTCCATTTTTCCTCACTATCATCATTGAATTGACATCAACATCCAAAATAGCATTCACCACATCCAAATGGTCTTGAACAGCAGCAAAATAAAGTGGACTAGTGTTCGAGGAATCGCATAACTTACAAGCCTCAGGCCAAATCCTCAAAATCTCCCTCACAATATCTGGAAAAAAGATCAACATTTTAACATTTAATAACTGAAACCCTAACTACTATAATCAATTTTTATCATCACAGAACCAAACACAAACATAGAGTGAAGAACCAGAAATGAATGAAAGAAAAAATATACCCAAATGGCCACGCTTAGCTGCAACATGAAAGGCATTCATATCAGATTTAGACCTGATTTTGAGTATCTCCAAATCACAAAAACTTAACAAGAAACCAAAAACCTCCTTAACACCATACTCTGCAGCTATATACAACAACGTCTCTCCAGCATCATTCTGCATGGACATGAACTCAGAAATCGACGATGACACTGACCCATTTGAGGATTCACCTTTATCAACATGTTTCAGTATCTCTTTGAGTCCTTCAAGGTCCCCAGATCGAACCACATTGAAAATTTTTTGATGGGTTATGAAGCATAGTGACTTTGAATCCATGACATGCAATTGAAAAAACAGAAGTTGAAGAGTTTTTCTTTGTTTGGGAGAATCTAAGTGGAAGAAGTGATGATGTTTGAGGACAAAAAAGTTGGTTTTTTCAATTGTAGAAGAGTTGCATTATTTTGATATTTAATTTGTCGTTTGTTTTGTTCGACAGAAAATCCATGTGGTAGTGAAGGTGATGGATTGTATTTAGTATTGCTTTGTTTCATTGTACTTGTTCTTTTACTTTTGTTTGGCCATGTCCCATTTTGTTTTTATTTTATTTTTTTATGTTTATTTTAGGAAAATTAGTGATGCGAATCAATCATAATTTTATACTAAAATAAGTTATATTTTAATTTTAATTTTTTTTAATGACAAATCAATTTATTGATTTATTTTAGTTTTTTTTTATTGTAGGAAATTTAGATTTATATAAAATAGTTTTACACAAATAAAGAAAGTAAATGACTTTTGTTATTTTATATAAAATTAAATTTATTTTTCTATGATATTCTTGTTTGTTTATTACTACTAATATTTTGTTGCATATTTATCTCTCTCATTAATATATAGATAAATATGTTATTTATAAAATAACAAATAATGTATTGTACTTTGGAAACAATAATAAATAAAAAATATATTTTTTAAAATAAATTTAAAAAATATTTCTTAATTTTAGTCTCATTAATTTTCAATTTTTTGAAATTTTGTTCATTTGATGCTGTGTAGACTTTTTAGTTGACATCGTAATGTTATTGTATTTGTTTTTAAATATAACTTTTTAAAAATAAATTATGAGAATTAAATAAAGTTGATATTAATACATAATTTATTGATGGTTGATTTAAAAAAAACATTCTTTATGATAGAATATTAGTTTATGTTCTCATCATAATGTATATTTCAAATTAATAAAAAGTAATATAATTAAAAACATGTTAATTAAAAAATGATCAAAATTTAAAGAGGTTCTATATAAAAGGACAATAATTCTTTTACAGAGTTCTTGGTTTAAATTTGAATGTTACATTTCTATACTTGAATGTAATGTCATTATTTTGAATTATTTAAAATACTTTAATATATATTTTTAAATTTATTCATAGTTGAATTTTAAATTTTAAATTAGTTTAAAAATAGCGATTTTAAATTTGTTAACTATTGAACTGAGTTAATTTTTAGACACAAGGTTCATGAGACATAGTGTTATACTTTCGCAGTTCAAACTGTAGAAACAAGTTTTGAAGAGGGAGATATCGTGTTCGTGTAGAATCAATTTTTTTGGGATGTTCTGTTAGGGCTTGAATGAAAACCTAATCAACAAGGGTTCCTTCGATGATGGACAATGATATGTGTTAGATTTAATCTATATTTTAGGAATATCTTTTTAGAGGATATTATTATATCTTTTTATATCTTTGTTAGAGGATATTTAGGATTTTATTTTGTGTATAAATAGCCTAGCGAGGTAGTTCAATGTAATTCATTGTAAATCATTATTCCTTATTTTTGTAACCGTCATTTAATATATTCTTTTGCCTTTCATATCTTCTTTGTGCACCAACAATTGATATCTAGAGCTCCGGTTAGAAATCCACGGGAAAACATTGCTTTATTGGGTTAATAATCGTAAATTGCACAAGGTAGAAGATGAACGGAAACGGCGACGACATTTATTCCAAGCTTTCAGTATTTGATGGCAAAAACTGGAATCGTTGGAAGATCCAGATGCACGTGTTGTTTGGTTCTCAAGATGTGTTAGATCTTGTCACTGATGGCTATGATCGGTTAGAAGCAGACGCAATAGAGGCACAAAAGATAACACCGAGGGCGCTAAGAAAGAAAGATCAGAAGGCGTTGTTCTACATCCATCAATGTGTGGATGCCAATGTGTTTGAGAAGATTGCTGATTCTGAAACAGAAAAGGCTGCTTGGGACACACTGGTCAGATGTTACGGTGGTGACGCATTAGTGAAGAAGGTGAAGCTTCAGTCTCTCAGAAAGCAATATAAGAATCTCAACATGAAGGACAACGAGAAGGTTTCTGAATAGATCTCTAGAGTAATTCTGATCACTAATGAGATGAAAGCTTATGGAGAAACTCTTTCTGAAAAAATAATCATTGAGAAGATCTTGAGATCTTTAACTTCTCAGTTTGATTACATTGTGGTAGCAATTGAATATTCCAAATATCTGAGCACCATGAGAGTTGAGGAGCCGCAAAGTAGTCTAGAGGCGCATGAGTTACGTATTACTGCGAGAACTTCTGAGAGGGAAGTAGAGCAGCAGGCTCTAAAAGTAACTTCTGGTAAGAAGTATCAGAAGCAGATTTGGTCAGAATCCAGGAAGAAAACTAAGGGTGGTCCAAGGTCAAAAGCTTCAAACTCTGATAGGCAGAAGAATGTCCAGAAGGGAAAGGAGAAGTCTGACAAGAAGAATGTTCAGTGTTATTGTTGCAAGAACTTTGGTCACTATGCCAAAGATTGCTGGTCAAATAAAGAAAGGAAGTCAGAAGAAGCAAATATAGCCAGAGGAGAGTCCAATGATGAACCCGTGCTACTGTTGGCTTCAGAACCTGATGATCTGAATTCATCAGAATGGTGGTATATGGACACAAGGTGTTCAAACCATCTTACTGGAAACAAGAAATGGTTGGTTGATTTTGACTCTGGGAAGAGTACAAAGATCAGATATGCTGATGATAAATACCTCAATGCAGGAGATATAAGAAATGTCAGAATCACTCTAAACAATGGGAAAGCAGCAGTGATCCAGAATGTATGATATGTACCTGACATGAAAAGCAATCTGATGAGTGTAGGACAACTGATTGAGAAAGGTTTTTTGGTTACCATGAAGGACAATCTTATGAAGCTGTATGACTGTAATTAGAAGCTGATTATGGAGTCAGAATAGGGAAGGAACAGAACATTCAAGGTGAATGTTAGAACTGCAAACTCTGAATGTCTTAGTGCAACAAGTGTTGTCAAGGAGAGTGAGCTGTGGCACATAAGATTTGGTTATTTGAATTTCAGAAGCTTAGGGTGTTGTACCCCAAAATTTGCCCTCCCATAAATCTTCAAAGTTTTCACAAGCATCACCTCAAATGGCTCAAGTCTACTCAAGGGCTACACAGTCAACCATCCTCCTAAGCCAGTCAAACTAGGGTTTTGGTTCTTGCAAGGAAATTGAAGTTTTCAAGGGCTCAATTAAGTCCCATATGCTCATACACATTGTCAAGCACCTACATGTCAAGTTTCAAGGCTCACAAGGTCAAGTTGCACAGTCAAAAACCCTAATTGCTCCACAGCCAACTGCAGGGCAAAATGGTCATTTGGCAGTCAAAAGTCAAAATTTTTGGTCAACATCTCATTTTGAAGCCACAATCATCATTTGGTCAAGTCTTGACCATGATTTCACAAGAATGGCTCAAAAATCATCAAGGTGTCAAAGGTTTCTATTTTGGACAGCTGAAAAGTCAACTGTAACTTGACCAAGGCATAACTTTTTCATGGTTCATCAGAAAAATCCCATCCAAATCTAATTTTGAAGGGGATGACATTTCCTACAACTCATCTTCACATTCCAAGTCCAAGAAATGCTCTCACAAAAAGTTATCAATTTCAACATTGTAGGTCATTTTCAAAAGTCAACAAAAAGGGACTTTAAGTCAAAGACCATAACTTGAGATTGGTAAATCAAAATGACATGGGACCAAATACATTGGTTAGAGGACTTCAAGACCTTTCCAAAATGTCCAAGAACATGTTCATAACTTCAAAATTGAGCAAGATATGCATTGGAGAAGTTGGGAAATTTTTGTGAAATGGCCAAAATCATTTATCCTTGAAATTTCATTTTTGACAAAAGGGGCCCACTTTTTCCACTTGATTCAGCTTGGCCATGATTCCCACGTGTCCCACAAATTATTTCAAAATTTAAAATCAATTTTTCATTTTTTATTTTATTTTATTTGATTTAATTCATTTTAAATCATTTAAAATCAAATAAAATCAAAGAAGTTAATTAAGGGGATATTTCTTGTATTGAATTGCTTTGATACATCATCATTGACATTCCAATTTCGTGCTAGGGGGCTAAAAGAAGCAAGAATTCAAATTTTGGCTTAAGAATGGAAAGTGCTTCAATGGAGTTTATGGAGAATCCTAAGCATGAATGCATTGCATTATTGGCCATAATTTTGATCAAAACTCATTACATAAGAGATATGCAAGCCAACACAATGTTGGTCACGACCTAGAAAGCTAAAAAACGGCCAGGACCAAAACAAAAATTTGTCAAAAAAGTGAGGGATTGAAAGCTAGGTTACAGGCACTTTGAGATCAAAAGAAGCACATAGCCTTCTTCATTGCCACGCCCTGAAGCTGAAGAGACCAAAAACACAGCCTGAGATCACCTATACGACGCTGTAAGTTGTCTCAAACTTGCCCCTGTGCATGAAATCCATACTCTATATTCTTGCATCTTTTCTCAATTTTTTTGGTATAATCATGTTCTTTGTTTGATTCTGGATCTAATAGCATTATTCAATTCCATTTTTATGCCTTGTATGACCAAATCCATGCCTAGGGTTTGTGTATTTTGTTTTTAGGCGTTTGGTTTTCAGGAGAAATCAAGGCGAACCATGAGTAGGAACGTGATCAGGGGACCAAGACGAGATCATCCATGGCTTTAGGTGGTGTTTTCATGGCCTGAGGACCATTTTTGAAGCAGCCTGCGAACTTTCCTGCGGATAGAAATCCGCAGGTAAAAGAACCAGTGTCCAAGGAAGAAGACGCTGACGCGTCCCCTCCTCATTTGCCCGTTTGAATATCAGCGCGCTTTTTTTTTCTTTTTCCAGGGAATACTTGATTTACTAATATAATATATACGTGTTATTATTGTTTCAATTAAAACATGCAGCTCAGCTGGCAACGCATCAGTGGATTCCTCCAAAGGGCACGAGTTCAAGTCCTGGTTCTGGCCTTTTTCCACCTTTTCCATAATTA